GAAATATTCCACTGTTCGCTTTGTATTTCACTTTGTAATTTAATCCCTATTACGTTGTTTAGTCATTAAATACTTTTTGATTTTTGAATTTAAACGAATTGACTCATTCGTATCCTCGTTTCCGGCCGGGACGAGAACAAAGGAGTGAGGCCTTCCTCGAGAGCTTTCCGAAACCCTTAACAATATACATATTATACATATATATATATATATATATATATTATATTTATATATATTATAAACATATATATATATCATTTATGTCAATCTGAGAAAATGTCCTGCAATAAAACTGATAAAGCTTCAAGTGATGTTCGCTCATGATTTCGTCCTGCCTGAGCTCTGGCATGTTGGGTGAAGCTGCAGAGTTCTGGAGAGGAACTTCCAGCAACAAAGGTGCTGTATGAATGCTGGGAGTACATCCAAAGTGAAGGCAAAGGGTTTGGTTGGACTATCAGTACAGCAGCCAAAGAATGCGGTTTAAAGGCGTTACAGTATGGTCCCAATGCAATGTGGGGAAATCTTTCTCCTTGGAAATTACTGTGGTATTTGTTATAAATCAAGGTTGAAATATTTATGTTCATGGGAAGCTTTACCTGTGGGGACTTACGACCAAGGGGGAGGAACCTGGGTCAGGTATTGGGGCAAGAGAGCATGAGAGAGAAAGAAGGCGCTTATGGCTGAACTGCGACCATAATAACGAGCAGAACCTTAATGTGACTCAGTTCTTTAGGCGGAACTTTAAAGTTGTGACAACAAAGCCCGTTGCTCGGTTCAGGGCCTCCAGTCCAATCCAGGTGCAAGTCATTTACAATCATAGTATCATCAGTGCTGCTCCATTTGAAAATAGCTTATCTAATAAAATAAGAATGTGATATAAAAGTTATGTTGAAAAAAATAGTTTATTTTAGCTCAATTTAAGGAGCTTCAAAGAATGGAACTCACTGCAGGACAATGTGAGTGGAAGCAGAGATGTGCAAGATGTGGACGCGAGCATGAATAAGAAAAATGTAAGAATAAAGAAAATAACTAAATGTTGTAACTGCGGCAGTGAACACAGCGCTGCTTTTGGAGGATGTCCGGTTCAAATGCAAGCATAGGAAGGGCAGAAATGTAAAATATCTAACCAAGTGTCTTATGCAGAAACAACTAAAAAAGTGAAGGAAAATGATGAAGTCACGTCCAGGGAAACCCACAGAAAGGATATAAGTTGATTTGGGATTAGACAACCACCTGTGGACCTTCCCCCTCTGGTAAATCTGAGGCAAACAGAATTACATTCATGCATAAAAGTGCATGAATGCAAAATAGTTAAAACTCTGAATAATGAATCCACAACAATACAGATGTATTAGGCCTACGGCTAAAGTTCACCATGCACTTTATTGCAAATAATGCACACAGAATTTGTGACATGAAGTCACAGTAGCAGTCAGTCATAGATCAGAATGTGTATGTCTGTGTGTGCATGTGTGTAGTGGGCCTGTTATCAGTGGTGTGTGTAGGAGGAGGGTGTCTTGTGAGGGAGCTGTTCACCAGCAGATAGAAACTGCTTGCTAGTCTTTTTGTCCTTGATTTCAGACTCCTGCAGCGTCTGCCTAATGGCAGCAGCAAGAAGAGTGTGCTGGGGGAGTGTTCTGCCCTTGATGATGTTGTGGGCTCTCATTAATTTGTCTTAATGGTAGAAGACGTAGCAGGGTTGATGCTGCTCGAAATTCAGCATCCTGCTGCAATCTTACCGTAGTCTCAGGAAATATGAGTAGTTTGCGTGAATGAAATAGAATGAACAAATCTAAAATAGGGAGTGATTACTTTTCCATTAAATTGTAGTATCTCTACTCAGAAGGGTAATACAATAGAAAGATGGTGTCCTAAAGCTGTATTTAATGGCAAAAACTCAGCTAAGTGCATTATGTGTAATGAAACGGCCACTTCAAAACTGCACACTCCTGTCCAGTAGGTGGCGGTATGCA